CCCTAAACCCTAAACCCGAAGCTGCCCTGCCCTGCGCTCCAGGAGTCCTGGAAGCTGAAGGATCCCACGGGCAGGCCGGGACCCTAGGAAGGGCTCCCTCCAGGTTGCCTTTGAGGGTTTTAGGGTTCAGGGTTTAAGGGTTTAAAGGTTTAAGGGTTTCAGGGTTCAAGGGTTTAGGTTTTAGGGTTCAGGGTTTAAGGGTTTCAAAGGTTTAAGGGTTCAAGGGTTTAGGGTTTAGGGTTCAGGGCTTAAGGGTTTAAAGGTTTGGATTTAGGGTTCAAGGTTTAGGGAGGGTACTCTTGGGTTCTTGAATAGGGTTCCTTTTAAGGGTACTCTACGGGTTCTTTTTGCAGGGTAACAGGGTTCCCTTTCAGGGTTCTATAGTAGGGTTTCCCCTTTTAGGGTTCTATACTCCGGCTACCTTAAAGGGATCCTGTAAAGGGTTCTACTACAAGGGTTTTAGATAGGGGGGCCTTAGGGTTCCCTCTAAAGGCATCCGTTAAAGGCTACTATAGCGTTCTATCGTATTCCCTTAAAAGGGTTCGGCCATAGGGCTGCTTTGAGAGATCCTTTGAAGAGTACTATAACGAATTAGGAAAAGGGCCTCAGTAATTAGAATAGGGTTTCCTTCAAGGGTTCCTTTAATGGATCTATAGCGGCTTCTTTTTTTAACGGCTTGGGGCTCAGAGTTTATGGGGCTTTTGAGGTTTAGGGTTTGGAGTTTATGGCTTTGGGCTTCGGGGCTTAGGGTTTAGGACAGCGCAAAGCCTAGACACTAATGTTTGTCCTCACAAAAGTACGACAGTCGCTGGAGCCTTTACTTGTGGGTGTTCCGGGCTTTCATAGCCAGGCCCCTATAGTAAAACCTCTTAGAGTATTAAAACAGCCTGCAACCTGCACCCTATAGCCGGACCGGCAAGAAACCCCGCGTCCCAAACGCAAAGACCTTTGGCTGCACGCTGTCGAGGCGTGAGATCTACTTCGACATGATCACGAAACTCCGCCAGGGCCATTTCAGAAGAGAGTGGCAGGAGGAGCCTGGGAAGAGACTCGAAATTTTAAACCCGAAGGCCCAATCCAGAAACTCCCGTTGTCTTCACACGTTCAATCTCAAACAGTTCCTATGCCCTGCACCCTGTTCTTACGTCTTCTGGCAGTCCTCGCCCAACTAAGCCCAGGTGCTACCAAAGTTGTCAGAAGAATCGATCGAACAACATCTCTTCGAACTGTATTCGCGTCAAGCTTCTCCATGTCACTTTCTCTCAGAGCCTACTTCGTAGAGTATCGGAGATTATCCTGCTCTGGACCGTGCAACTCACACCCTAAGCCCTAAACCCTGAATCCTAGACCCTAGACCCCTAAACCCCTAAACCCCTAAACCCCTAAACCCCTAAACCCCTAAACCCCTAAACTCCTAAACTCCTAAACCCTAAACCCTAAACCCTAAAAGTCATCACACTTTAAAAAACAAAACCCTAAACTCCGCCAGGACGACAAGGCCTTCAGGCGCCCTCTTCTGCTCCCGCTGGACATGGACTCCCGGGTCTCGGAGACGGATGTGGCGTGGTACATGGCCTTTGCCCGCTTCCGAGAGCGGTTTAGGGTTTAGGGTTTAGGGTTTAGGGTTTAGGGGTTTAGGGTTTAGGAGTCGCTTCTATGGTTTCTGCAGGATTGGGAGAAGTTTTGAGTTGAAGGTCACGAGCAAGAAAACCATGGTACTATTTCATTTCTTGAGGTAATACTTGAGAAACATTACCATACTAGCATCGTGACAGTACCGCCAGCAAGAACTCACCCAACATTGCATTTCACGAATATTGCTCGTCCTAGGTGAGTGTTCAAAATCCCTGATAAGTCCGTCACGAGGTGACTGACCACTTGACGCCGCAACGATTCATCTACACTTGAAAGTAAAGTAACCTTCACGCTTGTCGGGGTGCTATTATCGCTACTCCCACAAGTTAACCATGAGTTTTCCCAGGAAGCTGGACAAGTAACCGTACATGCCTATACCCCGTTAACCCTTGCAGTACATAGTAACCCTTATTGTTGCACTGTACAGGAACTGATCTTTGTTGGTCTGGACCCGGTATCCCGCCCTCCAGGCACGGCAAACCCTAGAACTCATTCCAAGGTTTAGCATTTAGGGCTTCACATTCTGAACCCCAGAGCCCGATCCTCGCCTATCCTCTTATATAACGGCTTGCAGAGCTGTTGAAATTTTCGTGAGTGCCAGAAATCCCAAGCTCTAAATCATCATTCCCAAAATGTTAAAGAGCAAACGCTGTGGAGCGATCCCAAAGGCCGAGACCTACTGGGGCACCTGGCCGAAGGATTCGAAGGATGCTGCCGTGCCTTGGATGTTGATGGGGCTGCTTATTGGACATTGATGTTCATGTTTAGGGTTTTGGGTTCAGGGTTTTCTGTAGATTTTCTTATGAATTATGTGGTTATGTTTTGCCGAAGGTTCATCACGGATTCAGCTGGTCGGTGGTAACAAGACGATGAATGCTTGTAATTAGTGATCTACTGCTGCCCGCGAACTATGGACAGGCGTAATGCATAGTAAATAGACATCTTTAATAAAGTAAACGAGCAACATAGGTAGATAAATAGATATCTAACTGAGTGTATTTGTTGTTTTTTATGTTAGCCAAGTGAATATGACGCATGTTTCTATGCATAGCTGCACATCTTCATCACAAGAAGAACCGCTTTGTGGATGTAGTGTCTGACGTCAAACACAGACTGATGAGCATAGTCTTTTCTCCTGGTTTTTTTGACGACCAGCAACAAAGGAGGCTTCTTGCACATGCGGAGTTCACTCTGCATGTTTCAAGGGAGCTAGCACACGTGCAACATTCTGTTGTGCACTTCGAACCCCTAAGCCCAAACGGGGAAACCAAGACAGAGCTGCTTCAGTGTATCTGCAAGACTGTGAGCTTCGGCGGAAGACGCCCCACTACAGAGTAAACGTAGCAATGCAAAAGGCCCGCGCAAAGGGAAGTTAAGTTCTTGTGTTCGGTATTTTCTGTATCAGGGCTGTGAGACTAACGGTGATTTTCTTGTTTTGACCTTGGCTACTACAGGGTCCAATTTGCTGCTTGCCATGCCTTGCGCTACGGCTTTCGCCCCAAACTCCGGCCCTAAACCCTAAACCCTAAACCCTAAACCCTAAACCCTAAACCCCAAGCATGCAGGAACAGAAGAAGCTCAGCCCGTTCGGGGCCTTCGATGGCTGGATTGCCATCACCAAGCCTGAATCTACCCTCAGTGGTGTCGACCAGACCAAACATCAGGCGGGCAAGGACTTCTATTGCTTTTAAATAACCGAATAAAAAATCGCACTGTTGCTAAACCTCAAACCCCCAAACCCTAAACCTGCGGTTGCTACTACTTGCTGCGGCTGCAGGGGTTGGAGGTGCAGGACTCTTGGGGCTGAAGTTCCGGGTTTATGCTTGATGTGCTATACTCCTCTGCTCTCATGTGGACCGAGAGTGCTGAATGCCATTTAGCCCAACCGCTGCAGCTTGAAACCAGGTGCAGGTCTTGCAAAGACTGGCCGGGGACGACAGCGCACCCGCCAAGAGCCGTCAATCGCCCTTCCCCACCTGCCTGCAGGATCAGTCAGGGCGAGGGGTTTAGGGTTGAGATGGGGTTTAGGGTTTCGTTTTGCAGAGGCTAGGGTTTCAGAGTTTCAAGATTCTCAAGGAGTTGCGACTGATGATCTCAGGATTTCGGGGTTCAGAGCCCCGGAATGGCGGGAGGGGCTGTTTTTAGCTTGCAGCTGACACCAGCCCCGATACCCTACCCTCTTGCCTGTGCCTCCGGCCATGTCAGGAGAACAATGGCGTAGGCACGAGCTGCTACTGCTTGGGTGGTTTAGACTGACAAGCTTGCAGACAAGGGTCTGGAAGATTCAACACCTAGACGATAGCAAAGAACTGCTACTGGTAGCAGTACTGGGTCTAGAGCAGTATAGTGAGGAGTACTGTAGTAGTAGTAGACGTAGTGAAGTACTAGTAGTAGGAGTAGTAGTCGTCGTCGTAGTAGTCGTAGTAGCCGTGGTCGTCGTCGTCGTCGTCGTCGTCGTCGTCGTCGTAGCGGCAGTGGTGGCAGTGTGGCAGTGTGGCAGTGTGGCAGTGGCAGGCGCAATCGTAGTAGTCGTCGTCGTCGTCGTTGTAGTCGTAGTGGTAGTGGTAGTGGTACGGGTGGTAGTGGTGGCAGTAGTAGTGACAGCAGTGGTAATGATTGCCTAGTAGTGATAGTGGTAGTAGTGGTCGTTGTCGTCGTCGTCGTCGTCGTAGCAGTAGTAGTAACAGGTAGCAGTACTACGAAGCAGGAATTGGGAAAATATTTGGTCATGTGTGTCGCCCGTAGGAACTGCTATGCTTCAGCACAAGGGCTGCGTGCTACCAAGAACCAGCGGCATGAAAGATCACCTGTCAGCATGCTTTTAGCGAAGTCCATGTTGCCGTGCCTCTGGCGAACATGACTTTTCCCTTTCGGAGGCTGCACATACCGCACCAAGAAGTTGGCAATTCTCCAGTACGGGTTCGCTGCTCTGCAGCAGCTGAAGATCTCTTCAAAAGGCTACTTGAAGATGGAGGCACGGCTGTAGCTTGTCAGGCCTCGATCAAATGTTGAAGCTGTTATGATGATGCAACAATAGCAATAGTTCAAGCAGCAGCATTGGCAACAATCCCACCACCATCACTACCATAAGCAACGGGACGACTGTCAGTACTACTACCGCTACAACAACAACAACAACTACTACTACTACTACTACTACTGCTGCTACTACTACTACTACTACGACTACCAGTAGTAGTAGTAGTAGTAGTAGTAGTAGTAGTAGTAGTAGAGTAGTAGTAGTAGTAGTAGTAGTAGTAGTAGTAGTAGTAGTACTACTACTACTGCTGCTGCTACTACTACTACTACTACTACTACTACTACTACCACCACGACTACTACTACTACTACTACTACTACTACTACTACTAGAAGCAGGAGGAGTTCGCATACGAGGGTT